ATATGGTCAAGAAAGCAGGTATTCCTTCCATTCCAGTCCAGTTATGGCCACATACACCTGATCCGTTTTGAAAATAACTTTTTGAAATGATAACTCACAGATCATCGCACTCATGAACTGCAGAGCTAGATGGGATCCTATAGATCATCAAGTCCAGCCCCTCTCAAGGAGGCCCAGTGAGGGAACCGAACTCCCAACCTCTGGCTCCACGGCTAGAAACCTAAAGCACTGAGCTATCCAGCAATTCTTGGAGGAAATGGAATTCGAAACATAACTTTTTGAAGCTCTAGCTTGTTTATGTGCCTCATTTGCGGAAGCCTGCGGAATCTTCAAAAATCCACACTAAATGGAACAAAACCTAATACTGACAGATTATAATTTTGGGTATATAATCAATTAGATACACATAACCACATGGAATGTGAAAGAACCACAAACTTACTGGACATTTTAGAGTTGGGGTCTACTCATCTTCATCCTTAAGGGGTGACTACTAATACTATACAGAACTTGGGTTGTTTCTTTCAAATTGCAAATTAAAACTGGTCACTTGCATTATAAGCATCCCTTGTTCAAATATATTGGGAGGGAAGTGTCTTGACTCCCATGAACATGGGACCAGTATCCAAGAAAAATAATGGAATGTTACACTCCTAGAATAATCGGGCTAGCACAGTTCCCGCATGAACATGGGACCAGTATCCAAGAAAAAGAATGGAATGTTATTTATGGAATGATCACTCCTAGAATAATTGGGCCAGCACAGCTCCCAAATAATTGTTGGAATTGTTGGAATTCAACAAGAATTGTTGGAATTTAAAAAAAGCAACTTCTCCATGCTCTTAAAAATTGCTTTGAAGCAGGACCCACATTATTGTGTCACTGACAGCAAGATCTTGCCAGGATGGGCGTCAGAAAGCATGACAATATCGAAGCATCATCCAATTGAGAAGCTCTGGTCAAGACTTTGATCAAACCCAACTGCTATGTTTCTGATGTTATGCCATATTGATGCCATCTTGGGCAGAGTCTGATGCCAATCTGGATGGACTTGCCATTAAAAAAAGAATCATCCTTGGGTTTCCACATTCAGACATGGGACAAGTGCCAGAAGGAAAGCTGATATTGAGTGGCAGCCGCATTCCGCATTCCGTAAGCCAACTAAGAAGAGGGGTGCCCCGAACAAAAAATTGTAACTATGCAACTGGACCTCAGATCAGCACCAAATTTGGCACAGATGTAGCAGAAAGCTAGCTCTTGCTCTGTGCCAAATCTGCTAAAGAACTATCACCTATAAAAAGGGAAAGAAATGAGCACAGTATCGGGGATACCCCCGTGCTCCTCTAGGACTTCAAAACTGTCCATCCGCATCTAGAGGGTGGAGTGGGGAGGACAAACTTGCTAAAGACAAATCCAACAACATGCAAAATAAGAGCTCTTGTCTCCAACTCCCAAAGGAACAGCTGTCGCAGTAATTTGCATCAAGTTCAGAAGAGGCATCGAAACAACTCGTCGATGGAGCAGACGACAAAACCAGAGGAAAGTCATTGAGAAGGTTAAGCATTTCGTCACAAAAACAACTGTGGCATTGAACACAAGATGCAGCAACAACGGCCACTTTAGATTTTAGGGCAGGACTGGATAATATTGTAGAAAGAAAGGAATAAAAGTGGTTGGGAGTATTAGTGGGGCTGTGGGTTTAAGCCCAAACTTTCTTGGAACTATCCATGGTGCTGGATTCTATCCCAGACAGAAGTCCCACACTTTCCAAAACTACCAATAAAGGTCAGAGAGAAAAAAAATCCAGATTAGATTCACTTTCCCAGCCCCGCTTGTCAAAACAGAGATACACTCTGCTAGTCACCACAGACATTTATTGTTGTGGTTATGTGCCATTAAGGCAGACTCAACTTTTAGCAACTCTAAGAGGGCTTTCAATATAAGTGGTTCTATCAGGTTCCACTCCTTCAGAGAGCTCTCAGGGCTGAGTGTGGCTTCGAACCCAGGCCCTGAGTCCTAGTCCATCACTCTGGCCATTATACCACACTGGGTATCCAGAATGGACATACGCTGTCAATTTCACTGGGTGCCCACTGGGTTTCTGTGTGGCAGGCTCTGTCCTGTAATGATTAACAGTATCAGACAAGGATAAGGAGACCCATGTTTACGGCCGCCTCCTGAATCAAAAAGCTTCTTGATTGGCTAAGGCGGGACCACTTCCTAAGCCCAACCCACTACAGACGGCACGGGGATCGATGGAGGAAGAACATAACCCATGTATGTCCCCTGCAGATTTTTGGGGGAAGAATGGGATCTGCATAAAAACATGCAAATAAAACCTACAAACCAAATAAAAAGGAACAATAATGTCCTGTAGATCTAACAAAAGCATCTTTCCCTAGGCATTTCCATCACACTCTGCAGAGCTGTACAAACCTCCATCATCGCCTCCTCCCTTAGCAATCCTGCACCCCAGCCCTTTCAAAAGTCAAAAGTCAAATCTCACAAGGTACAATGCTGTCCTTCAAGCACCCTTCTTCTGTACCATTCGTGGTTAAGAAGAGATTTGCAGAGTGCCTTGTGTCTCCTTTAAGAGGCAAGCATAATGATTCCAGAAGAAACCCAAAGCATAAGGAGAATGCCTGTTAAGACATATGCAGTACTTTTATAGTTCAAGTTCAGCTTTCAAAGCCCACCCCCCCCCGCTCCTGGATCCTTCTTCAAAAAGAAATCCAAAAAAATAAGCGTAACTATGCAGTCTTTGTTTAAACAAAGCTGCTCCACTATCCACTGCGAACCACACAAGTAACAACTTGCCGAATTCTTGGCTCGGGTTATAAGATGAGCAGAGACTTCCTTGGTTTAATAATAATAATAATAATAAAAGTTCTCCCTGCTTCCACATTCTTGCAGAATAAATGGAGTAATCGCTCGTAGCACAAGGCATCATTACGAATCTGCTTGGATTCAAAGCTGACAACTGTATGAGATCAAATATAATAACAGGATTGGTCTATTGCAGTGCAGAAATATTAGTAAACTGCACGTCGTCCTAATGATGCAGAAAATAACCTTGGGCTATTCCCCCCCCTTTAAATAAGTGAATGTTGATTGTTTGAAAGCTCAACAAGAAAAGCCTTCTGGTTAAAGTGGAAAGGAAAGAGTTTATTTTTCTTTCACTTAAAAAAGAAACACAACTCAACCACCATCTTGTAGAGACATGACTTCATTCATAAACACCATGTGGAATATTTGTAATAAAATGACCCTGGGGGCAGCGGATCTTAAAGATTAACAGCAGGGTGGCATAAATTACAGGCCAAACAATGGGAATTTTTACTGGTTAAGAGAAATTTCCTTGGAAATAAAAAAAGATACAAATATGACCAAGTTATAATGTCACATCCAGAAACAAGAATGGATTTCTAAGAAGCGATCTGGAGGCTTAAAATAGGGTATTTTGTAGCCCACAGGCTTGGAAGGATAGGAAGATATCTGGAACCTGCATCTATTTTGTGAAGCGGTTAGATTTTGAAATACGGATACTCTCTTACAAAAAGCAGCCAGCCAGAAATCCAATATCCAAACATCTCAGTTTTGTATTCACAAAACACCACAGAGAGAGGGGGGGGAAAATATCTCCATCAATGTTTGGCTGCGATCTCTGAAATTCAACAGGGAAAACATGCACAATCATCGCTTGATGGTCACGACACCAAGCAACCAACGTTGCACCTGTGAAACTGGTCATCCCGGAGAGAAAAGGGCAACCCAAATTTCCACGTCAGTTCTACGCAAGGACAATACTCTTCAGCTGAACCCAAATGCAGAAGCTTTAGCACACTGGTCTCTGTTGCGGACAGAGCAAGCTTGTATATGTATACTCAAAAGCAAGTCCTAGTGAGTTCGACAACACTTACACCCATGTAAAGAACCTCTAGGATAACAACCTGACTTCTCATCAGGAAGACCGAACGACAGCATGTGTGGAGCAGCACTAAGATTAACCAATCAGAAGCAGGCAACGGCTTAGCCCCCAGATAAAAGGTCTTCCTGAAATCCTGAGTTCAAATTCAAACATCTCCAGACATCCTCTCAGTGGCCTTGAGTCTCTGCCTCAGTTCTCTGCCCATAAAATGGGGATATCAATGGAATCGCTCCTCCTCATGACTCTGAACCCAACGGCAAGTATAAACCACGTCTCTTCTAGATCCAAGTGAAGAATTCAAAGTCATGTTATGCAGTGATTCGGTTACTGAGAGCCAAAACAGAAGCGTCACACGTAAAAATTGATCAAATACTGTGCAGTTCTCACGTTTCGCACTCGGCTCTATCTCTTAAAACAAGAATCCATCCAGGCACTGGATGGCAAGCCCAATGAAGATTATTTGGTGGACATTTCAGAAGCACTCCCATGTTTGGTCTGATCCAGCACATAGAGCCGTCACCTGACCGTTTGATAGAGCCTCCAGGTTCAGAGGCAGTGTATAGTACTGAATTCCAACAGCCGAAGGGACCAGGCTTGAACTGATCGACTGCTGGTGGAACACCAAGTACCCAGGACGAATGCTCACTCGTCCTGACCCCATTCCAACCCTTACACCCCGGGTGCCGTTTCAAAGCACAGCCGTAAGAACACAGGCCTTACGGGAATGCCCAAGGCTCTGTCACGTTAGGCTCGGGGTTCGGAGGCCGAAATGTTCTCAGTCGCTCAGAAAAATGCCTCGCTCAGCCGCCCGCGCCCTGCAAGCTGACCTCTGGGCTATGCGGCCGCCGTGCGACCCATAGCAGATGAGGAGTGGATTGAAACGCCTGCAGCCTCGATGCCGTTCTGAAAACTGACTTCTGCCAAGCTCCTGGCCTTCCCCGCACCCCGTGCTTTAAAAATAACTCGCCACTCCCTAAAGCAGAAGTCTTTCCTTTTTTTGCATCTGCCGTCCTCCTCCTCCTCATCACCAAGGTTTTTTTTCCGAAAGTAGAAAAGCATGGCAATAATTTACCTACGGAGTCAATCTCCAGGAGGCGCTGGAGGTCCCGAATGCTGTGGATTTCACTGTGAGCCAGTCTTTCGATCACCTCTTGAGGGATTTCGGCTTCCTTGTTTTCCAAGAAAAGAGACAGAGAAGAGACAGAACCGGGTCAGTCACCTTCCATGCAAAGCCACCTTTTCAGTCTGCCGCATCGCTGGCAAAAGCTTGGCACCGAGGCCTGCCCATCCATCTCTCCCTCTTCCACCCCAAACTGGGGGGGGGGGACCCCAAATCCCACCCCTCCAAAAAAAACCCCTCAATGTGGCATCCAACTATGTAACAGACCATACAAATCCTTGTAAAGTTGCCTCTGTGTTCTGCATGCTGGCAGGTTCCCCCCTTGTCAAGGAAACACCAAAGCCCAACCACCCTCTTCCTCGTAGGGAGAGTGTTTCTAAGGAAATGTGGGTGGGCTGGATCCGTGTGTCCCCCCCACAATTATCTTCCTTCCTCCATTTCTAAGATGTTCTGAAAGTACAATGGGAAAAGGGGGGTGGGGAGCAGGAGAGAAATATACTGTTTTAAAGGCATATTGTCTGTGATTTGGGCAGATCCTGCCTATGGAGTAAATAGTATTTAAAAAGAAAAAAGAAAACCTGCTCAGTTGGCCTTCCATGCACATTTACTCAGGAGTAAAGCTCATGCCACATAGATGGGGCTGACTTCCGAGGAAGCTGGTTTAAAACTGGGCTGTATTGAGAAGACTGTTGCTGGGTCCCTGTGCTTTTGTTGTTGTTGTTTATTTAAAAGAGAGAGAGAGAGAGAGAGATAGTAAAACTTTAAAAAAAAATGAAACCAGCAGCAGGAGACAAGACCCAGTGGACATGGGCCAGCCCGGCTGGGATCCTGTAAGGGTGCTGAGCCCAGTCGGTCCTCCCCTGGACTCAGAAGAGTTCTGTCATGGTAGGATTTGTATGTTGTAAACCGCCCCAACGAGGGGCCTTTGGCAGATGGGCAGGAGAGAAAGAGGCAAATAAATAAATAAATAAATAAAATAATAAATAAATAAACAAAATAATAAATAAATAAATAAATAAATAAATAAATAAATAAATAAATAAATAAATAAATAAATAAATAAATAAATAAATAAATGTGAGTGTGTGAGAGAGGGGGGAACACACACAGGGTCACATGCTATTTCCACGTAATAAATAATTTCTAAGTAAAGGCAGGTTCCTCCGAGCAAATCTTTACAGCAGCAGGAAAACTTCAAAGTTGGAGGCTCTTAGGGTGTCCACGTAGGAGTGAACTTCTCCGTGTGGTCTCCCTTGGCCCCACATCTCCCAGATCTGTCTTGGGGGGGGAGGGAGGACAGGTATGGGTTGTAGTGGCAAAGCCCCACGACCAAGCCCACCTTAGCAGGTCTTCCATGCCGTAAACCTGCGGGAGAAGCTTGCATGCCACCTTCCAACAGAAGATCCTGTGCCCACAAACCATGCAATCTCTAAAATAATAATAATAATAACAACTACAGTACTACCACCAAATTCCAAGGGGTCACTGAATTCTCAAGACCCCCCCCCAGGAAATGGACACCTGTAATAATCCTCGGTTTTGGAAAGGTGGAGAGAAGGAATAAGACAGGAGAGGAATTCACCCTCTGCTTCATCTGGCCACTTCTAGGGGGGCCTGCCGTCTCCATGCTCACCCACCGACCCACTCCCAAAAAAAGGCTGCGATCCTGCACAAGCAGATTTTACTCCGGAGGAGCAACTGTCGACGTTGCTGAGTCAAC